ATCCGTCCGTCTGTCTGACGGATCCGTCCCACACGCTGACAGCAGAAGCCGTCATCAGCAGTCAGCGGGTTCACCTGTCGAGGCGTTCGAGGCGCCGGGACTGATGATTGACGGCTGCAGGAAAACGTCTTCGTTTTTGAAACTCTTCTCAGAAAATCCACTTTGAACCTAAAACTGTCTGCAGGGTTTGAAGAATTTATAAAAGTCGTTATTTGGAGCAGAAAACGAGTTGAAGTGAAGCTGGATGATGTCAGGATGAATCATTCCTGGGAGGAAGGCGGAGACGATGAGGATGATGAGGTTTGGCGTGCGGAGAGGAGACCGTTTATCATCCCGCTGTTATTAAGTTAGAATATGCTAAGCTTGGAGGGAACTCCTCCAGAACATTCCCAGAATATTCCGGCCTCTTCCGGGAATGACCCGGTTCAGTTAAGATGAACTGTTTATAAATAGATGGGTGGGGGTGCACTCAGGGGGAGACGCCATGCTGCGCCGCCATCTTTACCTCTATGTGACAGGCTGGCGTTGGAGGACGAGTATTTAACACTCAGAGATCATAAAGAAAGAAAGAAAAGTTAAAAGCTGACAAATGATGAGGGGGCGGGGCTTCAAAAAGGAGGTTTGAGTGTTCCAGAGGGTCAGGTGAGTTCATTCAGGTAAACGACATCAGAAACAGGACAGCAGTTAGTCTGTCCTCGCTGGACGAGCTAACGGCCGCCATCAGCTGATGTCGCTCCGTACGCTTCCTGTTTTCAGGGATTTTCCAGGTGTTTAATTTTACCAAAGTAAAACCTGCTCCTGGCTGTGATTATTCGCTCAACGCCGCAGCATCAAACCCTGAAACAGCTTAGATGATAAAGAAGCCCCGCCCACCTCCAGTCATTAATCAGCTGAAATAAACGATCAGAAACCAGAAAAAATCTCTCTGTAAGTCGTCAATAAAATCCTGAATCACCAAGGATCCCATTTATGACCCCCTGCAGCCTCCATAGTAGTTCATTCTCTCAGCCACCACTAGATGGCACTGCATCTGCATCTAGAACTCACATTGGTAGATGAATCCTCCGCAGGCTTCGCTCCTCCCTCCTCTTGTAGGTCCGGCGCCGTCGGAACCGAGACGGGCAGCAGAGGTGAGCGAGCCTTCCCGGCCTGACCCAGGGACGCCGTCTTCACCTGGGGTTTGGGGAGGCTGGCACCTGGACAAGAGCAGGAGGACAGTAAAGGAGCGGGACAGCAGATCAGATCATTTCAGCCATTATTCCTCCTTATTAGAGGCGCTCTAACCCCTAAACCATCACTACGGAGCGGGGACGTTATAGTGAACTTTATAGTGAACTCAGTTAACTGAGCGTTCAGACAGGTGATCACTGCTTTTAGCTCTTTGTTTGTCACGTAACTCTGCCTCCCCCACGGTGCCTGCGCCATCTTGGACCGCTGTGGCAACAAATCCCATGATGCTTTGCGAGGAGAGCTCTCCTCTGTGTCTGAATCTAACCAACCACTGAAGGCACCAGTGAACATTAACCAATCAGAAACACGGAAGGTGGGTCTTGGCGTCTCTGTCTCTAAAAAACACGGGCGGATTGGGCTATTGTCCAATTTTTGTCCAAATTCTTGTTTTGCATTTGGAGGCGCCAGTCTGGGGGGGGGCAGCTGCTGTTTATAAATCGACTTTAAATGGATGAACACATCATGACTCTCTTGTCATTTTCTGAAACTGGGAAGCTCCGGTCAAAGTCTTGATTTAGTCCAGAACTAGTTGATAAACTTTGGCCTTTCAACATCTTTTCCAGGATCTGAAAATCTCAGCTTTAACCCGCGAGTTTTCAGCCTAATGGTGACGTTGTTTGGACGTGAACCATGACGTCTTCTTAATGTCTTTTCAACCAATGATTGATCGCTGGGCTCTGCTGCCTTCGGGTTTGGCTTCAGGTCATCTGGATGATTTGCTAAGCAGCTGCTTCCAGAACTTTGCAGGTACCAATAACCAGCTTCTGGTTCGTTCTGGCTCTGGTTCTGGATTGGTTCTGGTTCTGGATCTAGTCTGGTCCTGGTCTGGTTCTGGTCTGGTTCTGGTTCTAGTCTGGTTCTAGTCTGGTCCTGGTCTGGTTCAATTCTGGTCTGGTTCTGGTTTGGTTGTGGTCTGGTTCTGATCTGGTTCTGGTTTGGTTCTGGTCTGGTTCTAGTCTGGTTCTGGTCTGGTTCTGGTCCTGGTTCAGTTCTGGTTCTGGTTTGGTTCTGGT